GCGCCAACTGCGACGCTACCACGTGAAGTCGGACTTGACCACGGTGGTCCATGCCTTAGTTGCCTCTAGATTTGACTACTGCACTGCACTCTACGTGGGGCTACCCTTGAAGACGGCCCGGAAACTGTCAGAGAAATTGACAAAGAAAAAACATGGCTGTGGCTCACAAATGGAACTTGGAAAAAGGCGGCAAAGGAGGGCCTGATTCTGACAGCCCAAGAACAAGACATTGGAACCAAGGCCATCCAAGCCAGAACTGAAAAGTCGACGACACATCCCAAGTGTAGACTCTGCAAGGAAGCAGGCGAAACAATAGATCCCATCCTCAGGTGCTGCAAGAAGATTACACAGACAGACTCCAAGCAGAGGCACAACACCGTTGCTCAGATGATGCATTGGAACCTGTGCTACAAACACCATCTGCCTGCCACAAAGAACTGGTGGGATCCCAAGCCGGAAAAAGTCACAGAAAATGAACACGTCAAGCTACTCTGGGACTTCCGGATTCAGACAGACAGAGTTTTGGAGCATGATACCCCTGACCTCACAATTGTGTTGAAAAACAAAGTATGGGTTGTCGATGTTGCAATCCCAGGTGACAGCAGGATTGAAGAGAAACAACTGGAAAAGCTGACACGATATCAGGATTTGAAGATCGAACTGCAAAGACTCTGGCACGAGACAGTCAAGGGGGTCCCAGTGGAGATGGGCACACTGGGCGCAGTGCCTCAAGACCTTAGCCTGCACTTAAACACAATCGGCACTTACAAAATTACCATCTGCCAGCTGCAGAAGGCCATCCTACTGGGATCTGCACTCTTTCTTCGCCAATACCTCACACAGTCCTAGACACTTGGGAAGGCTCCGACGTGTGATCCAATACAACAGCCAGCAGAGTGACCTTGTCTGCTGTGGACTCCTCTTGTTGTGTTTCAAACAATAATGATGCTTATTTCTAGAGAGGTCGCAAGGGCCCCAAGTGAAGAGCCGAGCCTGGCGTGAAAGCCCCCCAACAGAAGAAGCACAGCACGTGGGGGGAGGAGTGAGACTTCCGGAATCATGGGCTCTCACTGCACCCACATTTCCGGTCTGTAGCAAGGGGACGTGAGAGGTGGAATATACACAGGAATCATTATTCGACCACTATTCCTGTAACTATTCCTGCTGGTTCTGACCCATAAAGCTCTATACAGTTCTGGCCCAGCTTACTTGTCCGAACGCATCCACCCCTACGTCCCACCTCGAAACCTAAGATCATCCGGGGAGGCCCTGCTCTCGCTCCCGTCAACAGCACAAATGCGCCTGGCAGGGACGAGAGACAGGGCCTTCTCGGCGGTGCCCCCCCCCCATGTAACACACTCCCAACTGAGGTAAGGATATTTCACAAAATAGTAAAGTTCTTTGTTTTCCTTCATAGAATATCTATATACCCTTGCTAACTCTCTTCTTGTCGTTTTCTTTACAGTCATGCCTCGAGGGCGTTGGCAGTTATGGAGAAGGGACCAAGTGGTTCCGTTGCCCAATACATTTGAAGATGCAACACAACTGTTGGTGGTAGGAAAACATCTCCACCTACAAGAACGCGAGTCTAGACCAAGGATGTGGAGCCGGAAGATCCATCCCATGCTCCAGAACCACCAACAAGAGGGGAAGTTAGAGGAGGAGGAGGAGAAAGAGAAAGGGGAGGAAGTGGAAGTGGAGGAGGAAGAGCTGACAAAGGAGGAGGAAGTACAAGTGGAGGGCGAAGAACAGGATGAGGAAGTAGAGGAGGAGGAGGAAGACGAGGAGGCGGAGAAGGAGGAGGAGGAGGAGGAGGTGTTAGTAGAGGAGGAGGAGGAGGAGGAAATACCCGAAGAAGCTATTGATCTACTTACATTTACTAATAATAATGTTATAATGTAATACAATATAATAATAATAATAAATATAAGAATTATATTTTTATTTTACATGTAATACTACTAATAGTATTACAGTATAATGGTATAATACAATACGGTAATACATAATACTAATATTGTGCTATGCTAATAATGTAATATATTGTATTTACATATTTTATTTATTTCACTCCGAAGGGGTCTCAGCTTTCCGGGAAGGGAGGAAAGGGCGTGGTTCTTCCATCATTTCAGCCTCCTCCACGACAGTCCATGAACGTCCCTCCGCCTCCCACCCCACGTCTGGTGCTCCCTCCACTGGTGGCTTCACCGACCATCGGTTTGTGCGATCCGGGACCTCCTGGCTGGCCACACGGTACAGGTCCGCACGGACGACACCACCGACGTGTGGCACCTGAACAAGCAGGGCGGCACATGATCCTCCTCCCTCTTTGCATTCACCCTTTCATGTCTCGGCCAGCCATGTACCCGGGCAGTCCAATGCCCAAGCGGACCCCCTGAGCCGATCCACCGCAACACCACTGTCTGGCTCCACCATCGGTGAGGAAGGGGAAGGAGGGAAGGAAGAGGGAGAGGGAAGGAAGGACGGAAATGAGGGGAAGGGGTGTAAAT